AGACTGTTAATGAAGTCCTTACATTAAATAAATTGGATGTTGGATGTGTACTGATTGATATTTTAGTCTTAGACGTATGATATGTTTATTGATTGTTATTTGCTTTGAACTAGCTGCTAGTAACTGTGAGTACTCTCAGATTTGAACGTAGTATCTTTTTTAGTTGTGGGATGTATAAAAACCCTGCCACGTTCACTCTGTGTTTTTGTTAAATGTTTTTCTGCTTTGTATCGATCTGATGAGTTTAGCCATTTTCAACTGATTTTTATAGTTTGTTCTTATGTTGTGATGTTACATCAATGTCCCAGGTTAATGAGGGTTTTGTGTCAACAAACTATTTTAACCCTGTCACATTATATATGGGCCTGTCCTAAAGCAGGAGCCTGTAATTCGGTAGTTGTCATTTGTTGCTGTATATCATATTTATTTTCGATATTTTTTTGTATATAAATCAGGCCGTTAGTTTTCTCGTTTGCATTGTTTGACATTTGTTCTTTCGGGGCCGTTTATAGGTTACTATACGGTATGCGTTTTGCTCTTTGTTGAAGGCCGTACGGTTACCTATAGTTGTAAACTTCTATGTCTTTTGATCTCTGGTGGAGGGTTGTCTACTTGGCAATCATACCACATCTTCTTATTTTTATAAACTTAGCTTATTTATCTTTACTTGAGATAGAGGACTGGAACATGAGGAAGCAGTTTGTTACATATTATAATACGTTAGATTGATCGATGAACGGTCTCTAATCGATGTCTGTTTCTTGAAATCGCAGTCTATTCTGACGTAACAGGTTCAAATCGAGGTCAACAAATTTAATTCTCTAATAGACTTCAAATTGAATGTCAGTGTTGCACCAGAACAAAGACTGGTTGTATTCTCCAAAAAATGAGACCCACAAAGCTTAAATATTTATATCATAGTAGTAATGATTTTAATATTTTTAATTTTCTCAATCTTTTATGCCAAAGGCTTGAGTAAAGGTGATCTTGGGATCAATCAGTTTAAATCGAAGACTTTAACACTAGTATTTGCAGCTTCTCTTTCTTTAACGCGGCGGTGTTTGGGAGTTAGAGCATAGGCCTATTGAATCAGGGTTATGCTAATGTGTCCAAATGTGTTAAAGTAAAATAACAAAAATACTGAAGTCCAACGAAAATTCAAACTGGAAAGTCCCTTTACAAATTTCTAAATCAAAAGGTCAAACACATCAAACGAATGGAAAACAGTTGTCATATTCTCGACTTGGTACGGGCATTTCCTTATGTAGAAAATGATGGACTAAACCTAGTTTTATAGCTAGCTAAACCTCTCACTTGTATGACAGTCACATAGAATTCCATTATATTGACAACAATGTTTGAGCAAACCAAACAGACATAATAGATAAAAATGTCAAAATTCGGGTACAGCAGTCAACATTGTGTTATAATTTTAATCCTTATAAAAACAAAGAACTATGTCAACAAAGAAAAACAAATTGGCATGCAGATACTCTATAGAAAAAGCACTTGAACAAAAATGAAAGACATTAATACCAAAAATGACCATAGCACAATAACACAATGGCGGAATGTGTAAATACCGAGCCACACGAAAAGGATATTACCAAAAACAGTAAAGGTTAAAAATATACAAAGACAAATAAAAAGATCACTTTAACACGTAATTAAGATGATGAACAACGTCAGTTCCTAGAATCTATACTTTAAGACCATCATGTATTATGTGTGAAGTTGATACGGAACAAGATCTTGGTATCGTCCGATGGACTTTTTTTTTCGCAAAAAAACGAGACGTTCTTTGACATAACCCTGGTTCATCGACTTGTATGCCCAGACACTGGTGACGTTTTATAAAGTCTGAGTAGCAGCTGCAAGCTCTTGAATACCGAATGAGTTGGGAAATGCATATCCAAATTGCAGGTGAAGTTGGTATGCTGCTAAGGTGGGGAAAATTTTTAATTTCAAAATTAAAATCGTCTCGTTTGTCATAGATTCTGGTACTGAGATGACCGCTTATGTCAAATTCGAGATATAAGTATAAAAGTTGTTTCTTGAATTTCTAGTTCTGAAGGATATATTAATGGAACCCAATCAGAAAAGTTTAAATTGTTAATGGAAAGAACATCATCAGCATATCTGAATGTGAAATTAAATGATTTGGTTCTTAAATCATTTTGTTTTTGACAAGTGTCTGAAGGAACTCACTCCGACTCATACGAAAATAAGAAGAGGTCAGCAAGGAGAGGCGCACAGTTGGTTCCCATAGAAATGCCAACAATTTGTTGATAAAGTCTACCACCAAATTCAACAAATACGTTGTCAATAAGCAACTCCAGCATACTAATCACTTGTTCCTCGGTGTATCATGATTTACCTTTTTGTTCACTATTAACATGTAATAATATTCTTATGTGTCTGTAATCTATCAATATCGTTGTCCCTAACATGATATTAAAAGAATAGGCGTATTTGATTTAATGAAAATAATCGGTAATAGTTTTCTCTCGTAGAAATAGGTTAAATCAGACAATTTTTTTATCCATCAAAACTAGTATATACTATGTGAAAATTCATGTATCAGATCGCTAAGTTAAAGATAATTTCTGAAATGTGAGGGCGAATTATAAACTTTCCTTCTATCCTGCTTTACAAAGTTCTGTCAACGTGCTTGAAAATAACAACGGACATGGAACAACAACAAATAAATTGACTTTAAAATATTACGACATCTGTAGTCAGTAATTGGAAATGAGATATAAGATAAAGAGTTGTTTGAAGGAATCATGAACGTGTAGAGAGCATGGCACTCTCACTTCATTATACATTGAGTTTGATTGGAGAATACTGCGTATGTATACATCATGCAAAGCCAATATGCAACGATTGAAATTTCATTTTGTATAAATATAAGGAGATGTGGTATGAGTGCCAATGGTATGAATATATTTTTTTTACCAGTTAAGTTAAACTTTACAGTGTTTTGAGTACACAGGGGATGCCCACAGGCAAACATGTCATTTATTTTCCTTCCGCCTTTATGCTGTAATAATTTATGAACAGCTTTTGGAAACATAATTTACTGATAAAGTTTGAAGACACTCCAGAGTCATCTACTATTTTGGTTTGAATCTCTATAATTTTAAATTCAGTGTCATTCATGGATAAATATAATGCTCTGAACTAAAATAAGTGTGACAACATAGCTTTAGAAAATAATAAATGGTAACTTGATATTACATGTAAGATTCACTCACTGTAACAGCTGGAAGAACATAGAGAAGGTTTCATGTGGAATTTACATATATATTTTGTGACTTTTGAAGAACGAAAGAGACAATTTCACACTATTGCAATTTTCTAACAGCATTGTATGTAGTTTGAGGTTCTGATAACATTATGTCTAATTTCTAAATAGCTGACGAAAAAATATTTAAAAAAAACCACCTAACGTTTTATCGTATTTATTGTTGAAACTGAAACTGTTGATTATTTTTTTTACTAGTATTTGTACCGTAAAATGGATGTCTCATTGATATGTAACCCGTATTTTAAAAAAAAAAAGTCCATTAAATAGTTACTCGGAATACTACCTGAATCAGTCAACCTTTTCAACTCTAGATACCACAATATTCTGACGTTTTTGTTTTAACCATGATGTTTGTTTGCATAGGATGTAAACATTAAAATCAAGGAGATGTAGTATGATGCCCACTGAGACAACTATCCAATGAAAAATAAGGATCTAAACGACTGTAGGTTAGTAAAAAGTCTCGACAATGAACAAAGCTTATATCGTATATAAAGCTACAACAGCCACATATATAACAAGGTGTGAAACAATCAAAGAAAGAAAACCTAAGACCGCATAAAATTAAAAGCACCAAGGGAAAAATAAAAATGTCTTATAACAACAAACGTAAACAACTTGACTGCAAATCTCTGGCTTTGGGATGGTACATTAAAAATTTGGTTAAGTCAAATATATTGTAAACGCTTCTCCAAAGCTTTGAAAGTGATTTTATGATTCTTTTATATTTTGACAGTTTGTTTTACCTTATGGCGTTTAAAGCTAGTTACGCAATGTAGTTATAAATAATTGTTCTTTGCGAACGTGTGGTGACATGTATTTGGTTACGTTTTGTTTTTTACTTGATGCACCGTTGACCGAAAGTGTTCCTTGTACATCTTCGTTTACTCATGATAATACGATTTATTCTGAAAGCGGTACCAGTTATTCTCATGGCAACAAAGATGTAAAAAATTAGAGAATGAAAACAAAACCTTCATTAAACAAACTGAATCTAATTAAATCATGTTAACTTGAGATATAGTACAGGACCTGTGAAAACAGATAGTTTATCTATGACTGATCTCTAATCGACGTCCGTTCGTGAAATGGAGCCCTATCCGACGTTAGAGTTAGAAATCGTGGTCCAAACCTTTATTCTCCAATAGACTTCAAGTGTATTGTCAATGTCATACAAAAAAAAAAAAAAAAAAAAAAAAAAGAAGTAAAATAACAAAAATACCGAACTCCAAGGAAAATTCAAATCGGAAAGTCCCTTATCTAAAGAGTCTCCCAAAAATAGTTTCTGAATTTAATCTATTAGCATTCTTTTTATTCTGCCTTGAAATAATTCGATACGTTAAGGTTTCTCTACACAAAAGCATATATATGATTTTGACGTATCTGGTACAAATTTTCAGAATCATTGGTTTTAAATGTTTTAGATTTAAGCGCCACTGATCAGTCTTATGTAGACGAATCGTTAAAAAAGGAGAAGAAACCAAAGGAGCATTCACAAATCATAAATCTTATAAAAACCGACAATACTATGGCCAAAAAGCAACCCTGACGAAATGAAAACAACAAAAACCTAAATCACATAGAAAACTAAAACACGAATAAGACGAACCATACCAAAAATCGGGCGAATTATAAGCCTAGTTAATTTGATGATTATTTTTGGCTTTTCAATACAATAAAACAAAATAAATACTTTGTAAGGTTTTATTTAGCAATAAGATATCCAGAGAAGGTACTGTAGTTATGATCATTACTAAAGATTTTTTGACCGTCATGACTTTTACACCTTATATAGATGCGATCACCTTTCTTTAAATTCAGCACAACATCAAAGGTACCAGTTTTATAACCATCGCCTTTCGTATAACTTCCAGCGGTCGTTGTATCATTGTGCCATAAATGGAGAAACAGTGATTTACCATCTACTGACATAACAACTGCTGAGAAGTGGTAAAGACCAGGCATTGAAGCAGTAAAGACACCTGTAGTAACGTCGTAAGCATTCAAATTATTTGTCCATAGCTTATCAAACTTTACAATAGCATTGGACGATAGAGTTTGTTGAGTATTCCTGTATGCTGTGAAAGCAGGTGTATCTTTTTTAGTCGATATATTTCCTTGTCCTCCATGCCCTGAAATTAGATTACAACAATTATTATTTTTATTTTGATATGGTCTTTTAAAGGAGTATAAAGTTGTCTTGTATAGTTATTATCCTAAGAATACATTCGTCTGATTTCCTTTACAGATAAACACTAAATCTGCTAAATGCTTTTTACTCAGCACGAATAATCGTTTATTTTCTCAAATTATATGCAACTTATTAATAGCGATTAGTATCATTTTTGATATTAAATGGCATTTTTTGAAAACAAACGTCGAAAAAGAGATTATGAAAAAGATGAACCAAATCAGAATTCGGTGTTTGATATAGGAATAAGGCATATCAGACATGATAAGGAAAAAGACAAGGAGAGGGGGATATGACCAAAATATATGAATTAAATCATTAGTACCTGTTCCTTTCAACTTTAACATCATTCCAATAAGGTCATCAAACAGTGAGTTTTCTGCAAATATTGAAACAAATGTTCAAAGATCAGAATAGTCAACATTCGTATTTGATTTGTTAAATAATATTTACGTTTATGCTTTCAAAAGTGATATTTCTTTACCTTAAAACTTCAATTTCTTTTGTTTTGCTAGACTATATCTTGCACAGTCTAGTAATTAAGAATACATATATTACTTGCACTTTGAAATATAAGATTAAAACTCATGATATAAATCCATCATGAAAACTATAGGTTATTTTATTATAAAACGCAATACTTTAAACCCGTTATACCCTAAGCAAGCTTACCGCTACATGGGCTGCTCACGAATCATATAAATAACCAAGCTAAAAGGAACACGAGCTGCTCATGTGACATATAACTTACCAAGCTTAGAGCTACAGGGACTGCTCACGACACATATGACTTATCAAGCTTTGAGCTACATAAGCTGCTCCCAATTCATATAATTAACCAAGCTTACAGCAACACGAGCTACTGACGACACATATAACTTACCAAGCTTACAGCTACACGAACTGCTCACGACAGATATTACTTACCAAGCTTAGAGATACATTAGCTAATTACGATACATAAAACTTAGCTTAGAACTACATATGCTGCTCAAGGCATATATAAATTATCCAGCTTAGAACTACATAAGCTGCTCAAGACACATATAATTTACCCAGCTTAGAACTACATAAGCTGCTCAAGGCACATATAACTTACAAAGCTTAGAACTACATAAGCTGCTCACGACAGATATAACTTACCCATCTTAGAACTACATAAGCTGGTCAAGACACATATAACTTACCCAGCTTAGCATTACATGAGCTGGTAACGACACATATCTGTCCGCTTAAAACAAGACATATTATTGGTAGATGCTGTAGTATGAACATTATTTCATTGGTCGACTGTACAGAGAATTAAACTGACGAGGTTATAACTTATCATTTCATTTTTGAAGAAGAGCTCTTTTATACATATGTACCTGTCTAAAGCTTTACTGTGTCATTAAATTGTAATTTGATATATATACCCTTTCCGTGTTTATTTGGAACAGCTGTAAAAAGATACTAGTATAGTTTGTATGGCACGTGTTTCCTGAATATCGGTCTCCAAATTACGGTTAAGCCTGAAAGTCAAACAGACTGTAAATTATTTGGTTTACAATATAAATAAACTCATCAAATAGATAACCACATTAAAATTATGTACGCCAGACGAACGTTTCGTCTAGAAAAGAATCAGCAGAGACACTCGAATCAGAAAAAAATATCAAGGCAAAATAAAATAAGAAGTTGATGACATAATGCTGTGAGGACCAAATATAATTGCTCTAATTAGTTCAGCGAAACTAGTTAGAACCATCATCTGCTTACCCTTTGGTGGTTTTACGGAACACTAGTTTCTGGGCTAGAGTGTCCATGTACTTTTACGTCCGTTAAAATCAGTACCGATCACTTGGTAGTAAGATAAACCGTCTTATACTTGTTACAGTACATGCGACATGTGTCATTTTGCATTTTACTTCATTAGATCGTCTGCAAAAGCAAAGGAAGTCAAATATATTAACTTTTAAATATATTAAACTTAATAGTTATATTAATACAGAGAAAAAAACTTTAAAGGTGAACTTTGTCTGATGGAGTTGCAACCCTTATTTAGGTCCAGTAAAATAATCGTCAACGCCATTACGCATTGTTTATAACAGTAAGACCAACATTATCAATGGTCATCTTTGCAAGGAGTTAACACTTTTATTTTAGTACATTTGTTTAATTTATGCTATGAATATACTAGATATGAAAGAATAAAACAGAAACGTTGTTGTGTTTCTATCTTATTATTTCTATGTATTATATGCATATCATGATATAACAATGATGCATGTACAATTAATTTGTCAACATTGTATATATCCTATAAGATGTACTTGATTTTGGAATAAAGTATTATTATTATTTTGTACGTTACATAGATCTTGAAAACATTAACTAGGAAGACTCGCGATAAAAAAATCTAATTCAAAATTATATTTTCCAAATTAAAGGGCCCATTGAGATTATATAAAATACAAATCAATACAATATTCAAACAAACATCACATGCAAGAAAACATTCATACTGGTTATTAAATGAGAATTTTGAAGATGGAAAATATTAGGAGAAGCGAGAACAAGTACAAAGAGGGATAACGCTAAATTTAATGTGTATCACTTTTTCCTGTCTCAAATAAAAGATTCTTTTCATACCAGACTAAGTATTGTATTAAATACTTAATCTTCTTTTGTATAGATCCAGATAAAAAGGTTGTCGAGATTGATGTTTCTCGTGTTTTGAAAACTTTTGAAATAAAGGTATTATAAAGAGGACACTTAAAACAAAAATAATTCAATTCAACTTCTTCAATGTTAAGTGAACAATGTTGATACAGTCGTTCACATCAGGACAGCAGCTCAAGTTTTTCAGAGCTATTGAGCTTTTTCCTATGCCTCCCAGGCTTTATTAGCGAACTGTGATTACTCAGACTAAATAAAGGTAAAATTCTAGGGTTGTTAACATTGTTCGTTTTTATGTTACTTTCGGATCTGAAACTTAATTTGAATTTTATTGATTGATTTTTGTTTGCTTTACGCTCAGTGGCAAGTATTTCATTCATGTTCAAGTCCAAACTGTTAACAATAGATATAATAGAACGGTCTTGAACATGACAGGCGGGTAATGTTTACTGACGATTGCAAAATATGATATATTAGTAAATTCAATAGGGAGAGAAATTTAGTTTTTCAATAGGCCACCTATGAACCCCCGAAGAGTTGTTGCAATGGTTCTCAACATGCTGAGACCGTTGCACTCTCTCACCAAGAAGCATCGGATTCTCAATAATGACCGGACATGATAATAAATGAACTCGTAATATATATCAGGCTTAAGATTATTTAAGCCAGACGCGTGTTTCGTCTACAAAAGAGTCATCAGTACCGCTCGAATCAAAATAATTAAAAAGGCCAAATAAGTACGATAAGTTATATGGTTTAGTAATATTGAAATAAGTGTTTAGAAAACACAGAAGTGTGAGCACAAAAACAACTAACTGAAATACTTGTGGAAACAATAAATATATGGTGACAGAAAGGTTAAACAACAACATAATAAATAAAAAAAAAAGATAAAAACGGTACAGCTTGTAACATTTGTCATTTTTTCACGAATATTGTGGCGATATTGATAAGGTCTCTTTGTCTGTGATGTCCAGGGAATTTCCTGATATTTATCTTTCTCAGCATTCTAATACTAATTTTGACCAAATTTGCAAGATACTAATATTATACATAAAACGTAAATATATTGTTGATTACATTCTTGTTTTCAAATGCAAAATGTTAACTACCTAAATTCTGATGACAAAAGGTTGTGTGCCTGCTTGGAACATTTAGACAGATCTATACCTGTTTATTTAATTCAAAAACTAATTTTATTCTAGCCTTTTCACAATTTGTATAAATGATCCTACCAGCATCACGAACGATAACGCAGATTCTATTTGATCAGATTACGAGATAATTCCAGGTTTTTTTTGTGCAAATGAAATCATTTTATAATCTGACACCAAACATGGATTTCAGCAAAAGCAAGCTAATTTATATGATTATGTCTTACTGGTTAGAATATCACACTGGAAACTTTATAAATACAAGAACCAAATTGTTAGTCTTTAAGTTGTCTGTCCTAGTTATTTGTCATAACATTCTAGTTTTCATCTACTAATGGTTATTTATTGACCATGTGTTATCTTCTCTAAAATTCTCTAAACATATTTAAGAATGATCTTAACTCTGATCAAATAAAGCAGTCATATCAGATTTTTGGACATTCCGATTATAATTAGATTTATTTGGTAAGGCCATTATTGTTTTAATAAAGCAGTCATATCAGATGTTTGGACATTCCGATTATAATTAGATTTATTTGGTATTGCCATTATTGTTTTAATAAAGCAGTCATATCAGATGTTTGGACATTCCGATTATAATTAGATTTATTTGGTAAGGCCATTATTGTTTTAATAAAGAAGTCATATCAGATCTTTGGACATTCCGATTATAATTAGATTTATTTGGTAAGCCCATTATTGTTTTAATAAAGAAGTCATATCAGATCTTTGGACATTCCGATTATAATTAGATTTATTTGGTATAAGGCCATTATTGTTTTAATAAAGAAGTCATATCTGATGTTTGGACATTCCGATTATAATTAGATTTATTTGGTAAGGCCATTATTGTTTTAATAAAGAAGTCATATCAGATCTTTGGACATTCCGATTATAATTAGATTTATTTGGTAAGGCCATTATTGTTTTAATAAAGCAGTCATATCAGATGTTTGGTCATTCCGATTTTAATTAGATTTATTTGGTAAGGCAATTATTGTTTTAATAAAGAAGTCATATCAGATCTTTGGACATTCCGATTATAATTAGATTTATTTGGTAAGGCCATTATTGTTTTAATAAAGAGGTCATATCAGATCTTTGGACATTCCGATTATAATTAGATTTATTTGGTAAGGCCATTATTGTTTTAATAAAGAAGTCATATCAGATGTTTGGACATTCCGATTATAATTAGATTTATTTGGTAAGGCCATTATTGTTTTAATAAAGCAGTCATATCAGATGTTTGGACATTCCGATTATAATTAGATTTATTTGGTAAGGCCATTATTGTTTTAATAAAGCAGTCATATCAGATGTTTGGACATTCCGATTATAATTAGATTTATTTGGTAAGGCCATTATTGTTTTAATAAAGAAGTCATATCAGATGTTTGGACATTCCGATTATAATTAGATTTATTTGGTAAGGCCATTATTGTTTTGATAAAGCAGTCATATCAGATGTTTGGACATTCCGATTATAATTAGATTTATTTGGTAAGGCCATTATTGTTTTAATAAAGAAGTCATATCATATCTTAGGACATTCCGATTATAATTAGATTTATTTGGTAAGGCCATTATTGTTTTAATAAAGCAGTCATATCAGATATTTGGACATTCCGATTATAATTAGATTTATTTGGTAAGGCCATTATTGTTTTAATAAGGCAGTCATATCAGATGTTTGGACATTCCGATTATAATTAGAATTATTTGGTAAGGCCATTATTGTTTTAATAAAGCAGTCATATCAGATGTTTGGACATTCCGATTATAATTAGATTTATTTGGTAAGGCCATTATTGTTTTAATAAAGCAGTCATATCAGATATTTGGACATTCCGATTATAATTAGATTTATTTGGTAAGGCCATTATTGTTTTAATAAGGCAGTCATATCAGATGTTTGGACATTCCGATTATAATTAGATTTATTTGGTAAGGCCATTATTGTTTTAATAAAGCAGTCATATCAGATGTTTAGACATTCCGATTATAATTAGATTTATTTGGTAAGGCCATTATTGTTTTAATAAGGCAGTCATATCAGATGTTTGGACATTCCGACTATAATTAGATTTATTTGGTAAGGCCATTATTGTTTTAATAAAGCTGTCATATCAGATGTTTGGACATTCCGATTATAATTAGATTTATTTGGTAAGGCCATTATTGTTTTAATAAAGCAGTCATATCAGATATTTGGACATTCCGATTATAATTAGATTTATTTGGTAAGGCCATTATTGTTTTAATAAAGCAGTCATATCAGATCTTTGGACATTCCGATTATAATTAGATTTATTTGGTAAGGCCATTATTGTTTTAATAAAGCAGTCACTTATCAGATGTTTGGACATTCCGATTATAATTAGATTTATTTGGTAAGGCCATTATTGTTTTAATAAAGCAGTCATATCAGATGTTTGGACATTCCGATTATAATTAGATTTATTTGGTAAGGCCATTATTGTTTTAATAAAGCAGTCATATCAGATGTTTGGACATTCCG